GGGACTGTTTGTGGAGATCAGAGTATGACAGTGCTGAACAGTCACATTCTATGATTCTGAGCATGCAACTAAGCTGTTTAGACCAACTTGGTGAGTCCTCACACCTTTGATCATTGTAGTCCACTAGGCATTCCAATGACTGTCCCACTACCTGAGTGATCACTATGTCAAGTATTGGTTCCACAATGATAAGAAACATTTCTATGTTTTTCCTAATTTTTGCTCATTTTATAGTAATATGTAGATTGAGTACTATATTAACTAACTGTTGCATAACATTATCACTAACAGTATAGCAATATCCTCCAATTTTCTCTGAAATTTGTGCTATTTTATGACTATTTTCCGATAGATTACCATATTTGGAAGTCCACTATGGACTGTAAACACTATATATAATGTTATGACTACTGGTAAGGACATCCTCCAACTTTTTCTGATTGCTCTACTATTCTTTAGCTATTTTTGGGTTGATACCATTTTTGCAAATAAATCTAGCCTCATAGACTATATATACTTTTGATAAGTAATACATAGTCATGATAAGTTAATTGTTTATAATCAAATGATGACATGTGATGAAGGGTATGTATATATTTGGAAGTATTTCATAGAATCTGTAAACTATGATTATGACCATAAAGTAGACATTGAAAATGTTGAATGTTTTGGATTATGATCTATTTATTTGTATTTGTATACATCCATTATCATTTTAAAAAAGTTCTGCAATTAAGGGGTGCTGCTCATAAAAACCATGTCATTTGGACCAGAGTTCGCAGAGCTACAGAGAATTCTTTACTTTAGCCCCAAAGAGATGAGTAAGCAACAACATGTGATGAAGGGTATATACATATTTGGAAGTATTTGGTAGAATCTATAAATATATTTGTAATATTTTCAAACCATGGTCATACAAACATGATCATGAGTGTCAAAAATACATTGAAAATGTTGAATGTTTTGGATTGTGGACTGTTTATTTGTATTTGTCTACATCCATTGTCATTTTAGAATAGTTCTGCAATTAAGGAGTGCATACCACAAAAAAAAACATGTCATTTGGACCAGAATTGGCAGAACTACAGGTAAATCTTCATTTTCACTAAAAATGATGACTAAGTGATGGCACACCAAGGAAAATGATGACGCACGAACGTTTCCTGATCACATTGATGGGAAACGTTCGTGCATCATTGCAAGGCACAAGAGATCCTCATGATGTCATCACTGCAGGTCATATTAGAAATTCCAAAGGAAAATACTGTAACTCTGCCAGATCTACCCTGAATTTCATGCATTTCAATTATGTAAAATTTAGGAGTATGTTTTA